ATTCCACTTCTGAGGATCTAAAATAAATGAAATCACTGTCATAAAAAGAGAAGTGCACCCTTGTGTTCAGTGCAGCATTACTTACAATAATCAAGGCATGGAACAACCAACATGTCCATTGATAGACCAATGGATAAAGAACATGTAACACACTCACAGTGGAATATTATTCAGCCATTAAAAAGATGTAAATCCTGCCACTTGCAACACTGTGGATGGACCGTGAGGGCACTGTGCTAAGCTAAATAAGTCAGGCATCTGTATAATGAGTGCAGGAGTGAAAGGTCTTACTCCTCATAAGGTCATTGCGACGATTACCTGATTAATTGCTAGAGTACTTGGTTTAGCACCTAGCACATACTGAACTCTCAACAAATGTTTTCTGCTATGTTACAATGGTTCCTTGGTCCAGAATAAAACTGAGAGGCATGCTATCAAAGCTGTCTCATAATTTTGCCTGTGAAGACTTTGTGAGTTAATGTTTTATATATCCTTCTTTCACTAAACAGCATAGTAGAGTTCCTTGGAAAATTTGTTTAAAAACAAATAAATCTGGGCCCTCCCTGGTGGTGCAGTGGGTTAAAGTACAGCACTAAGAAGCTAAAGCCACTTCAGCATGAGCTCAATACCCACCCTGGAGGTGACCCACATGGCGCAGCAGACCTCTCCTGTCTCACCTGCTGCTCCCATCTGCAATATACTTTGTCTATCTGCCTGTTCTGCGTCTTACTCTGTCTCTGGTGGGTCCTCTCACCGCCCCTGTAACTTTGGTCTGTATCCCAGTTCTGTATGCGTAAATAAATAAATCTTTTTAAAAATCTGAAATTCTAGGGGAGCCCGGGCATTCATATATTTTAGGACCACTTCGTAGTGATTTTATGGGGCTGAGAACCCAACCCAAACATTCAAAAGGTAAAACAGTTTCAAACATGTGAGTACAATGCCAAGAGTTGATTATCTCTGATTTGAGTCCTCCTTAGCATACATTCCATGACCTAGAGCATTGAGATTTCAGTTTACAGAAGAGTCAAAGTTCCGGACGATTCTCTCTACTCTCCACCAAGGCCACTCCCATGTACTCCTTACCCAGACAATCGTTCCCACAAACACGGTTGGGTACCCCCGACGTATCTAGTGCCTAGCACCTATGCACTTCCACATGGGCCTGAATGTACCTCGGAGTCGCATTATTATGGAGGGAAGCCACCCCAATACAAGCCAAACTCTGTGCAGCAAGCTACCTCTGCATCATGAAAAACTTAAACACAGAAAAAGCTCATGCGGTTACTTATTTTGAGGACGGTGAGAGAGGAAGGTTTAATAGACATGGGCACTGTTTTTCCACTCACGAATCGACAATTCAAGAATGAATTTACAAACTTTTGGGATACTAAAGTACAATGTTCCATAGCTCGACTGGAGTATAGTCACATTAGCCCCAAATCGTGGAACTGTAAACTTATTACCTGGGCCCTTCTCTGTAGGGAAGGCGCAACTCAACTGTTTAAAATAGCACAGAGGGGAGGAAAGTTGGCAGAGTCGTTTGCACCCAGGTTCATGAGAGAAGAGAGGCCCAAGAGCATTCCAAGTTAGCTCCCAATGCTCTCTAACCAGAGGGTCCTGGCTTACACAGTTAAAAAAGGGGTGAAGGCACCCCAGGTTTATTGCTGCTTTATTTACAATAGGAAAGTCATGGAATCAACCCAAATGCCCAAATGCCCAGAAGCAGATGACTGGATTGAAAAGATGTGGTACAGATACACAGTAGAATATTACTTAGCAGTCAAAAAGATAAACACATGCCTTTTGCATCAACATGGATGGAGCTGGAAGGGATTGTGCTTAGTGAAATAAACCAGAAAGAAAAAGAAAAATACCAGATGGTTTCACTCATAGCTGGAGCATAAAGGAAGGGGGAGTGGGGGGGAATGATAATAATGAACAACTATATACCAGAGACATTTTATGGTGGTGGAGTGGGGAATGGGATCAAAAATGGGGGGGGGGGAGTACAGGGGACTATGGTGATGGCCCAGGGATGACTTGGTGATGGGAAGCCCACAGAGATTACAACCGAGATGGAAAAAGGCACAAACTGATGTAAAAATAAACTATTATATTATTTTTTTTAAAAAGTGGGGGTGCAGGCTGTAGGCCAGTCCTCTGACTGGCCTGTCCCTGCCTCGGAGAGCTGAGATGAAGCCCCAGGCACAGCGGGGTTTGGGCCGGAGGCGCAAGGTCCTTACCCAGCACCAGGAAGGCAAAGAGCCAGTGCAGCATCACCGCCATCTGCAGTCGCCGCGCCAGCGGGGTTTGGAGCGGCGCAAACTCGATCTTCATGGCTCAGCCCCGGCGACAACAGCGCCCACCGCTCGCGCCCCGAGCCTGGCTGCTCCGCTGTGCCCGCAGGAAGAGCCCCGCGGATCCCGCTCCTCAACAGGCACCGGCCAGGCGGCGACTAGGAAGCGACAACCCGGGGCGGGCTGAGGCCGGACTTGGTCTGGGGGGCGGAGGGGCGGAGAGGGCGCGCCTGGGCCGAGACCCGGGGCTGCCAATCACCTGCAACCCGCGCCCTGGGCGGCCAGGGCGCCTCCCGCGCGCGCAGCTTTGCAGCCCCGGGCGCCTGGACTGGCACGCTAAGCTGGACTCGAGAGAGGGTCAGAGGGGTCAGCGGGCGGCCCGCCGAGCCCAGGCGCACGGGCTTCTGCTACTTTGCAGGTGCTGGGGGTCTCGGCCCGGATTTGACCAAAGTTCAGCGGATCGATCATCTTGTGCTGGTTTCAGCACTCGCCCTCAAACCCACCCTGTCCCCTCGGATTCCATGATTCGTTCTTGGAGTCGCCCACCGACTGGAGCAAGGTGTGGGACTCGCTTCTCTGAGAGCAGGGTGCGCATCCTATTTATTGGTCTGAGTCCCCCACACCACTCCCAAACTCTAGGGGCTTGGAGTGGGGGCCCTGGCCTCACTCATTTGTCCTGAGTGAGAGTCCCTACACAAGTCCTGAAATCTCTCATTTGTTTTAATCCCAACCAGGTGCTGCGAACTGTTCTCGGCGCTGCGCATACACCCGTAACCCTGTCACTCTGATTCTGCTCTCAAGGTGAGTGTATTATGGGATATAGATACAAAAGAACCACACAATTGGGTTTATAATCCAAAGCGAGCCCAAGAACGAATGACTGGAAGATTCTAGGACATAGACTGGAGGGTAAGGGAAGTTTCAAACAAATGACTTGAAGGATAATGACGGATTGTCTGTAATGAAGGAGGTGTCCAGGCAAAGACATGTACAAATGCAAAAATCCTGTGGCTGAAAGGCGAAGCCCAATATAGTGGGCCCTTGGGAAACACAGGAGATTGGGATGAGAGGAGGCAGGTGTGGAGACCAAGGCAGATCCCTGCAGACTGTGTTGGGTTCAAGTGTTGCTACGCAAGGCTTGCTACTGATGCAGTGACAAGCATTCCTAACAAGTTTGTTTAACAAGTTTGTCTTCTTGCATTTGAAGGAAAAGGGAGGATATCCCTAAGAAGGTAGTAAGGAAGTTAAACAGCTCATGTGGTGCCACCCAAAATCTCCATATGCCTGCATAAGAGGATACGGGGGCCCTTCCATTCTCCCCTTTGCAGGTTATCACCCACTCTCCTCACCCATCCATTTGTACAAATCCCCCCTGCACTCTGCTGCAGGGTGTTGGTCTTTCAGGAGTTTGCAGCCCTCCTCAGTTTATCAGCAAATCAAAATATTTTCCTTCTCCTCAAACTGTTTCCTTTTATTGGCTGACGAAACTACCAAGTGGCCAACGATCGGTATCACTACTGAAAAGTTTCAATTCTGACATATTAAATAGATGTATGGGTTCTAAATAGTCTGGTCTTTGTGAGCAATCCCTGCACTTTCTTTACAAATATTAATTACTGTAAATCTGAAATATGCCAAGTGACAGGTAACTGTCTGAGTCACCTCTGGAAAGGATTCGGAGCAGGGGAGTCTGGATTACATGCCCGGCCAGGGAGTGACCCAAATGGCCCAGCACACCTCTTATATCCCGCCTGCTGCTCCTCTCAGCGGTGGATTTCAGTCAATCCACCTGTTCTGCTCCCCACTCTGCCTCTGGTGAATCCTCTCACCACCCCGCACCTCTCGCCTGCACCCCAGTTCTTGTATGCATAAATAAGATATAAATCTTTTATATTTTAAAAAATATATTTAAAACAAGAATGTGTTTTAAAAAAAGAGTGTACGGGAGACAGTTTAGGACCAAGTTTGGTTCTGAATTTCATAAAGAACATTACTAATAATGGTAAATATTCTTTTCTTTTATATGAGTCTTGTGATCTCTCTTTCACAGACACCCACAGGTACGCACACATCATGGCTCCCGTAATGACCAGCTCTGACTCAAGTCTGCAGATTCCCTCACTACAGGAGATTCAGTGGAATGTCATTTACCCAGTTCTCTTCAGGCCTCTTTGAAACAGTTCAATGAGCTCGCTCTGGCCCCTCTGCTTTTTTTTTTTTTTCAATTGAAAATCATTTATTTGAGGAAAAACAATGGCATGAAGCATGAATGTTGCTATCTTCATACAGGGACAATAGTATTCTTACATAGTATTTCTATATTGATTCAAGTTTATGGTAGAACATAAACATGGAAAGAGCTTATTTCTTTTTTTTCATATTTCTTTTTTTATTACAAAAGTTTATTTTTACATCATTTTGTACATTTTGTACATTTTTCCCTCTGCTTTTTTTTCTGGTCTCCTTCATTAACAATTTGGTCAGTCTGACAGGGTTCAGTACAGGCAGATGCTCAGCAACCTTGCCACTGATAGGAAGCTTTCCAGCTCTGACACAATGTGCGTGGCCCCAAGGCTTCCTGTTCTCAGATGCCCCTTGTAGTTGTGGTCACAGCCTGAGGGTAAGTGTTATCTTTCCATTAGTTATATAAGATGTCCACCCTACAGGATAGGTACTTCCTTCTAAATTTTTTCAAAGATATATTCAAGAACTGGAGTGTAGGCCATAGGTACAGGGTGTGAGAGGCCTCATCAGAAACAGAGTGGGGAGCAGAACAGGCAGACTGACAAACTACTCTGCTGAGGGGAGCAGCAGGTGAGACAGGAGAGGTCTGCTGCGCATGTGGGTCAGCTCCCTGACTGGGAATCAAACTCATGTCATGGTAGCTGGCAATAGCTTGATAGTGCTGAGACAACCCCTGTGCCACCAGGGACTGACTCCTTTTAATTGTTATATTACTATGAGTTATAACTCTCAAAACTGATAGTAAGCACTAGAATCAACATAGTATCTTTTCTCTCCCCCTTGTCTGAGGGCAAGTTAGAGATAATTAGGCATCTTCAGGGACAGTGCAGGTGCAGACTTAACTTCAGCGGAGTTAAGGAAGACTCCAGGGTTAAGGGCAACAAATCACAAAGGGAACTAAATAAGCAAACACCCAGGACTACGGGCAACAGAATATTCAGAACAAGGATGATAAAGAAAAGTATGCTAAGATAGGGCTGGGACACACAGGCCTAGTTCTAGGCACAGAGACATTAGGACAGTGAGTGAGACCCCAGAGAACAAACCAATCACAGAGAGCCTGGTCGTGCTTTAGAATAATCAGGGAAAGAAGGTCTGTATCCCCCAGGGCACGACTCCACTTCAGCTCTCTCGCCCCTCCCTGGCCTGGTCCCACCAGCCTGGGAGTCCCACTCTATTCTGTTTCTTTTCTTCTTAATAACCTTTTTCTTTCTCTAAACAAATTTGCCTCTTTTCGCTCGCTTGCCTGAGTATCTGTGGAGTTCCTGCTGCAGCTTGGTGAAATGCCAGCCTGTGGTGGTCTGGAGGCCAGGACCCACAGCCTCCGGCAGCCTGGGGTCTGCTCCTGGCTGGGAGACCAAGCCTGAAGGCTGAAATTAGGTTATCACCCTCGCCTCTACTTTTGTTGACTCTTGACCTGGGAATATACCAACAAGTCAAGCAAGAGAGAAAAGAGAAGATTGGGGCTGGGAAGGGGCCTGGTGATGCAGGGCCCAGGGCAGGCTCTGAGGGAGGCAGTCAGCCTCTAAACAGCAGTATCCTTGGGCTCGTCTCCCACCCCACGCCCCCATTTCCCATGCTAAGAAGGTGCAGTCTGATGGATGGTCTTGCTCCTGTGTATTTTTGTCTTTCTGACTGTGTCTGGCTACTTGGAGTATAGCCTGTTGGCTCCTGTGGTCTCTTGTGGTTACTTTTTTTCCCCAGTACATGCCATTTCCCAGTTCTGGCTGCATCATCCCCGCCTGGGTCACTGTATCTTCCTAATGGTCTCCGGGTCTCAAGCTTTGCTCTGCACTTCCACTACTAATCCCTTTCCCTCGAGTGGCCATTCCAAAATACCAACTAACTCCTTTTATTTCTTCCTGCAAAAATCTCTGGCTTTAGGCCCTCCCTG